GTGGTGGTGTCGTTGTTTGGGTATCTTATTCACATCCACCTCCGTCTTCTCCACGTCCACTTCAAGTCCCGTCTTCCTACAACATCTCACTTTTTATGTCAACTTGTTGCATTTTGACTGTAGATTTTCAAGTTTGTCTGACAATAGATACAGGTCATCGGTGGCGAAATCCAAATCATCTTCTCGGATCTTTCAACCAGTCCAACCAACGTATGTCCATATTCTCACTCCTCACAGTCGTCTCTTGCATGATCCAGTGCAGTCGACCACAATGTGGAATATCATGGGTGATAGTAGGTGGCAGGCTTGTCTTACTCCTCTCTTCACTTCACTTCACCTCACTTCACTTCGAAGGCATCACTGAGCTTCGCATTGTGAATTACTTGGCTGACATGTCGTGTCATCATATACTTGTTGAATTTGTTTGATGAGGGTTTGTGGTATTATGTAGTGTTGAAGCAGCTGCCTGTCAAATTCCATCTCGGTTGACTGTGTCAAAGGCCTTTTGAAAGTCGATGAGTTTGATGTTGAGGTCGAGTTGAGTTGAGTTGACTGTCATTCTATACTGTGTTGTTTGATGATGTGTAGTGTATCGTTGCAATGTGGTTGGTGCATGATTTGTACTTGCTGAATCCAGCCAGTCATCGTGTTTCGGTGGTAGTTTAGAATCCAGATTATCGTTTATTTTCTGTTCGGTATCGTGCGACATAATATTTTGCTTTGGTGGACAGCATCGTAATTCGGCGCCACTTCTTTTAGAGGCATCACGAATACATACTTTGGCTTACAACAGCCCAATTTAGACGGAAGTGCGGAAGACAATTTGTCTTTACCATGAACATTTCTTGGTAATCTCTGTTTCAATTCGTGTTACAGAGTAGCTATCCCCCAGAGTATTTGGTTGTTATCCACATCATTTCGGCTTATTAGACTCTGTAAGTCACAAATCCTCATCAGATCTTCGGGTTTTGTGGAACTCTTATTTGTTTCAAGGATTATCATCTCATCTTAATACCTAGGTGGGATGCTCCTGAACATGTTTTGTTTTTCAACTCATACATTCTTGCACTTGCCTCGGTGTGTCAAAAAAGTGTGGAAACATTCTTCGTAACCTTCTTATTTACTTTATTATCCTAATTTGTTTTGCCTAACCCCCTTCTGTTGTAACTTTTCATATAAAAATGATTCGACCAATAGGTGTATCATCAGATGTTTCAATATGTATGTAGCAAATATAGCAAACTGCTCAGACAAACTCCTTTTTTCTTCTTGCATTATCGAAATTTATCCAACCTATTTATTCCAGGTTGATATTAATCATAGACTGCTTCCAATTATAGAACCACTGAGAACATAGACAGCCGTTTTATCCTAGTATGGGATCCCTCCGAGCAGTGAGCACCCATGAGTTCATTGCACCAGGGAGTGAACCCAGAACCTTTCGATTCCATTGTCATCACGTTACCAAAGTGTCACTGAGTTGAGATTCAGTGATCTGCATTTCTTACTTTTGTCAGTTCACGATATAACATGACCTCCATCAAGTATCATCGATGAGTAGGAGTCCTTACATCCGAAATGATTAGCCGCACCGGTCAGGACTTCTCATTAGAACTTCGGGAGTCTCATCTTGAAGGAAGTCACTATTCAGCACTAAAGAGTGATTCAATTTGGAAATTTGTGGGGATTTATCAGCTGATTTTAAGTTGATATTCATCATATAATGATATCAGTTGGCGAAAAATTGGAGAACCAGTACTTCTAGGTTCACTAAATTAATCTGTACAAACCTCAACTACAATCGAAATCTTTGTTAATGTTTTCCTTGTTTTGGTTTTTATAACTACTGTGGAACTGAAATTTTACTCATTCCTAGTTAAGTATCTGTTTCGTTCTCTTTTTATTCATTGCATTTTTTTTTTCGTACAGATTCCTGTAGTTACTGTCTCCCACACTGATGCAGATGGAACGTGGGTCAGCTACACCTAAGTACTTATCCGTCTCATTACTCTCCCGTTTAGATATCCTGACAATCCAATTTATGTTGAATTTATTGCTGATAGAATTGTCTAGAAAGACATTAAAACCTTTCTGATTAAAACATGCAGTTTAGATCATCCATCTAAGCTACAAACATTCTCTTCAATCAGTACGATACCCGAAGAAAGTTAGTTGATTAGTTTCGTATGAATCAAACGTTGCTAGAGAGAAGCATTCTGCAATCACATGTACATCATTGTTAAATTTTTAATCATGAAATCATGAAGTTATATAAATCAGTTTGTCTATTCTTATGCAGCAACTTAAGCATGTTTTTCTGAATGATGATCACCCATTATAGGAGGATCTGTGGCCGATTGGCATAAACATTCAGTTTCAAATCAATGGACTGTGCATTTAAACTCTTCTCAATCTGCTTGGATTTACCTAATCAGATAGTAACTACCAGTATCCTACTCGATTACTTGATTCTACACTATATTCACAATAATTACCTAAGATCTCGTAATTTCTTCTAAACCAACTTTGTCCAGCTTACCATCTTCCACTGAACCATCAGTTAATCACATACTAAAAGAAGGTATACACTTATCATTTCCTTTTTTGTTTGTCTGCATTGATTCACTACTTGTTAAGTACAACAAATTGAAATTTTGTCAGGTGAGATTGACAAACAATGCAGTATGAAAGGAATGCATGTTCTCTAAGCTAAGTTATTCACAACCAACCCGATTTCAATAAAACCTACCATGAAGTTTACCGAAATCATCAGAAAGATTATTAGAGTTCTGTAACATAATTTTTGCTTAAATTGTAATAAAGTTTACACGAATTTATCAACAACAGGCAACTGCTAGACCTGTGGAGTTCATGGTGCTTATCACTAATTGAAATCTACCAGTCACAAACAGTAGGATAGCGATCCACTTGTAATTAACTTCAGCAAGTAAAAACATTTAGGATTTTGCCACACATTCACGAAAGATATGACAATCGGTCGTTTTTAGGAGAGCAAAACTTGGGCACCGTATTATTATCATTATTATTATTTACACCTTGTGTTCCTAGTGGAACATACGGCTTCAGTAGCATGTCACCATTTCGCTCTCTTCTCTGCAGTCTTTTCAACCTGGCTGCATGACTCCTCATAAACATTCATTTCTTCCTCACACCATCTCCAAGTCAAATTTTGCTCGGTCGACTCGTCAAATCCTATGTGGGTTCTAATCGAGGTTCTGGTGCGTGATATCCCCAAATCGTGTTCTCAGTCTATGCACAATCCAATTCCTCTCCATCTTCTTCTGCATATGTGTTGGGTTCTGGGTTGACTCATTGTGAAGCCAGAGTTCCTCCTTGCTTATTCTTATTATTCTCGCAAGCTCATCTCCATCTTCAACTTCACTGTCAGTATCGAGTGAGTGTAGGTGGCAGCTGTTCATGTCATGTATGTCTGTAGTTTGTTGGAAATGCTTTTCGTGAGGCACCAGGTTTCTGAAGCATCACGTAGAAGTACTGACTTCATTGACATTAGTGATGAAAATGCGGATATCGTTCAGGCTGTATGCTGAGTGGATTGCAGTAGATCTCCACACTGATTTGAGGTTAATCAACGCCTGTCTTGATGTCTTTCCGATCCTGACATCATGACATCTTCATTTGCGTCGCCCCCGTATTTGAAAGGATGCTAACTAGGCAGGTAGGTGGAAGAGACAACTTTTTTTATATTTCTCCCGTTCATGATGCTTGTTGTTATTGGTTGTGCATCTTCATCACCTCTTTCTTCTCTACGTTCACGTGAACGAAATCCTGTCTCACTTCGCTGCCTTGCCTCTCCTACCAACTTGTTTGCTTTCGTCTATAAACCTTCATCATCATCATCATCATCGGCGAAATCCAAATCTTCTTCTGAGGTCACTTCATAGGTCCAGTCAGCGTATGCCCATCTTCTCGCTCCTCACAGTTTCTCGCATGATCCAGTCCAGTCCAGTACGTTACATTACGGTACAGTACAGTAAAGTCGACCACAATCAGCAAGAGCATCGGTGACAGTAGGCGGATACCTCGTCTTACTGCTATCCCCTTTCTTCACTTCAAAGGAATCGCTGAGCTTTCCATTATGAATCACTTGACGTGCAGAATCATATAGCATACAGCCGTTGTTGAATGAGGTTGATGAGAGTATGTGGCACTGAAACGGTAGTGTTGAGGCAGCTGCCTGCCACATTACTTGTTGTTGGAGGCTGTCGAAGGCCTTTTCAAAATCGGCGAAGTTGATGTAGAGCTGAATTGACTGCCATTCTATACTCTGTTCTATGATGATGCGTGGTGTAGCGTTGCAATTTGATCCACACATGATTCGTTCTTCCTGAAGCCAGTCAGCCAGCCTATTCCGGTCGTAACTTGGGATCTGAAGCATTTTTTAGTCTCTCCAGGATCACGCGGCCTAATATTTTGCTTGAGGTGGGCAGGAGCATGCTTCGGCGTCAGCTTTCACAAAAACTTGGGTCGCCCACCTTTCTTTAGGAGTTTGGTAAGGATCCAGTAATTTATACTGTATCATTTTTCTCTGAGTATATGAAATAATAATCTTATATGGTTTCAAGTTTGTATTCATCATGAATTGACATCAGTTGGAGGAACATTGGAAACCTGAGAGCACTGGACAGCATTGTTTCGTCCTGGTTAACGTGAAGAGAAATACTCAACGATGGCAGTAGGTGATGATCATGCTGTGTCATGAACTGACTGAAGTATGGACTATTGGATTACAATCCACTTGCTTAATGGTAACGTGGTGGTCACGGAATCTGAAGGTTGTGGATTCAATAGCTGGAGGGATGTCATCATAGGTACGCACTGTTAGGAAGTCCCACACCAGAAAGAAAGAGCTGTCCAGTTTATTCAAATTTACTCTTATGTTGTATGACATTACCTACTATAGGATTTAGTGCTATTATAGTAGTAGAATTTTATCATTAAATATACTTGAGAATACTTACACCAGTTATATTGACATTCTTATCGACTACATGCGGTAGAAGACTTGGAAAAATATCCCTTGCAATCAATTGTGGTTCCAATAGATGAGATTTTGTATACAAAAGTTTCTTCCATGCATCTATACATTTTTGGTTAAAATAAAAATGAGCAAAAAAATGGAAAAGATGATAACAACACTTTCTATTAAGAGGTGTAGTGCTAAAATTTTTGTATTCAGTCTTTGTCAACTCTAACCAATATGATATCGCTTTTATATCATTCATATTGTACAAGATATTAGTCAATATCCAATAGATTGTCTATTTAATATCTAAATATTAGTGATAATGTATTAATCTGAAATAATCAGTGTGGAGATCTACTGCACTCAGCATAAAGCGTGAACAATATCCGCATTTTCAACACCAATGCCAATCAAGTCAGTGCTTCTGTGTGATGATTTAGAAACTAGGCGTATATCACGAAAGACATTTTCAAAAACCACAGAAATTCATCAACAAATACCTACGCTGGCTTGATACTGAAGATGGAGATCAGATAGGCAAGAATAATTAGAATAAACAAGGAGGAACTGTGGTCGGGCAACGAACCAACCAACAACCTATCACCCAACAAATATGCAGGAGATGGAGTGGATTAGGGCATACACTAAGAAGACCGATTGGGGACATAATGCACCAGGCCAGGCTAGGCTGTCGAGTGGAATCCAAGTTGGAAACGACGAGTAGGGCGTCCGAGGAGAGGGTGACATGGAGGAGATGATGTGAAGAGGAAATGAAAGGTTATGGGCAATGGTGGAGTGAGATTGAAGAGACTGTAGAGAAGAGAGTCCATTGGAGGCGTGCTACTGAAGCCCTATGTTCCACTAGGAACCCAAGTGGAAAATAATAACTGATAATAAGTGATAATATAGAGTTCTGACACCGGCGACTGAAGTAGTTAATCAAACTAGGTGAATACTCAATGTTGGTGATTGTTCTTGATTGGAATTGAAGGAGAGAATTCTAATCCTCAAAGCTTGTTATCTCTCACTTTATTCAATTAGAAAATGTCAAGACTACCATTTAACTATGTTCCAGGTGAATACATGTCACTTTCAGCGATCTATATTCAATTGCAATAGAACCTCTGTTGGCAGATACACTCCTATGCAAATGCCTGAATATTGTCTAGATATTCATTACATTGTAGTCTATTCGATGGTTAGTAGTGAGTGAAGTTCTTCCAACTGAGATACGAACCCCAGTATACCCATTGCTTCAATCATCAAAGAGTTATCCACTAGGTATTGAACTATAAATGCCAATGTTCCTCTAACTGATGTCAGTTCATGATGAATATCAACCTGAAATCAATTAATGAATACCCACAAACCGATTATACAATTGGCTGCTCTCCTACCACCAGTTAGTGTATGTAATCCAGACCTGTCATTCACGGGCCGACTAGCTCAGTGGTAAAATCACTGACTAGAAAAATGGATGAAGTGGGTTGGAATCCTAGGCGGGACGTCAATTCTGTCGAGGTTGGAGACACCCCCTGCTGACGAGTCCTAATAAACACGAAACATTGGTTCAGGGCGTACTGTCGGTTCAATCAATCAATCAATATCAACATAGAACCAGAAATTACTGCGTGACGGTCCGAGTTGCCACACCTCACGTCAGTTCATCAAGTAGAAAGGCAGTGAGATGAAGGATGAAGATAATAAAATGCAGTCAAAAGAAATATAAAATACGAAGAGAGAGAAATGAAGAATGAGAAGGTGGTGAGATTCGATATAGCGTTGTTAAGATGAGGATAATGTGTGTATACATCTGAGCCACTCACATCGGTTCCGCTCCATGTAATCACCTAGAGTCTCCAACCACTGGTTCCTCTTGTCCCGCGGACCTCAACCACCTAGTCTGCATCGTCCTACATGGCTTAAACCAACAGTCAGAGACTTCATATATTGGTGCCATGTTTTAGCCTGGCCACCTCGGGCATTTTTCCAGCCTGGACCCACCTCAGCCAACATTGTGTGACGAGGCAATCGATGACTAGGTATACGTAGTACGTATCTCAACCATCTCAGTCGATGAAGGTTCACAACCGTATCAACCGACTTATCTCTACTCCCCAAAACTCTACACTTAACTTCTGCATTACTCACATGGTGACACCACGGAATACGTCCTATACTACGAAGGCAACGGTGGTCAAACACCTGAAGCCTTTTTGTATCCTCTACTTTCAATGGCCACGTTTCACAGCCATATAGTAGAACAGAGGGGACTGCTGTGCAGTACACGCGACCCTTAATAGACAAACGAATATCACGGCGGCGCTATAGGTGGCGCAAATTGGCAAAAGCTAATCGAGCCTTTTTGTATCCGTGCAGAGATTTCATCGGCAACTGACCCACCGGTTAGCTTCAACCAACTTGTGTATTACATTGGTATTCACTCTCAACTCTCTTCAGTTATACTGTTTCTTATCATATCTTGTCGTATCCCAACCGTTTGAGTAAATGAATAATTTTTGTAAATTTTCTACATTAAATTTTTTGATCTTCAAGAATAGCTATTTATTTCTTAATCATTTAGGCTATAAGCGGCTGATGAAGAATGGATGAAAAAGAATGATGTCATGCTACCTTACTCAGTTTATTATTCTTATTATCTTCAAAAGATGCTTCGTCTTATTTTTAGAGTAAACACTTGTAAAATGTAAACAGTTCTTAAGTATATTTTTTCCCAGTATATGTTTTCCATCAACAGAATTATGCTGAGAAACTAAGCAGAAGAATATTTTAGGTGCTTGTTTCGGTTCTTTGGCTTAAATAAAAATATTTCATCTCTATTTATCTATGTTTCATATGTATATCTTTCCCCATTCCTTTTAATGGCCTCTTTTTGTATATGGATTCCTCTTCAGAAGTTATATTTTAAACATCAAAGCGGGAATCTGCGCCACTGAGAGTTATTATTAGCTGTATCACGTAACGTACTTCTCAGTCAAATTAGCTGATAAGGGTCCACAACCAGATTGGCTGACTTCCCTTCCCCTCCCCCCCCCCAATACTCTACTTTCCACGTCTACGTTATTTACGTAGTGACACTCTGACCTAGGCTATTCTAGGATAGTCCCAGTGTTCTAATTTCTGAAACCTTCTCATGCGATCTATCTTTATTGGTCTTTTCGAAAAGTCATACAGTAGGTCAGGGTGAACTGTAACGCGGTGCACTCAACCCTTAACATGCTATGAGACACGATTACAGTTCCACAAATGGTGCAGTTTTGTGAAGGGTATGGCAGAATTCTGCATGTACACCTATCCACTATGGTTGATTCAACTTTCCAGACTAGTGAAACGTTCAGTGCGCTTAACTACTTCATATATTATTAAGTGGGACACCGAAACAGACCAGTCGTGTGGCAACAATTTGCATTCGTGTTTTATCCCATTCAGGACTTGTCAGCCAGATGTACCTGAACCTCAGTACGGAGTGATATTATTCTCAATGAAACTCGAACGTCGTACTCATCGCTTCAAACGCCAAGGCGTTACCTACTATACAATAGAGGAACTATAACCACTTCTTTTACGACGAGTAGTAATTATTACTGTCTATTGATTTACTTGTAATTCTCCGTTGTTTTTTTTATTGCATCGAATTGTTCGACCTCTATTGGGATATGGGTTCGTATATCAGTCCCCCGATATCACCTGAGTGTTAATTATGATGTGTTCGTAAGATTTTGCATGTTGTAATTTTTGAGTGTACAACTTGTAGAACTCAGTTAATCCTTTTGAACTCATATTGCCTTGGAGTTTTGCGCATGAATCTATAATTATTTCCAAAACCTAAATACAAACAAAACGATTAAAGCAGAACAATGATATTTGACGATTGGTTAGTATTCATCATGGAGTGATATCAGTTGGAAGATGGTTGGAAGTCTGAAATCATTGGACAGCTATTTTGTCCTAGTGTGGAACTCCTTAACAATTAGCACCGATGACTGTGTCAGCGATTGAATCATTGAATCCCTTACAACCCCCCCCCCCGGGGAACTTAATTTCTATTCAATATTTTAACAGTTTCACCAATTAATGTTATTGTTTCTATTACACCGTCGTTAATTGGGCCAATAGCTCCCTAGTCCGAGTCCCGACGGGAACAACATCACTCACTGGAAGGCAGGTACATCCAGCTGATGAGTCTCAAACAGAACAAAATGCTTGTCCTGGATTCCATTGCTAGCTAACCATTGCCCATCATTACTATATATAGTTTCACCAATACTACAAATAATTTAGTTTTAAGCACTAGAGAAAGAGGTTAAACAATTTTTGGATAAATCCATATTTTCAGGATTTCCAGTATAATTCTGTCAGCCTATTTACCAAATTGAACAACAAAAAAACATATCAGAATGGATCTTATTTTTTGTATTGATTGTTACATTGTGATATTAACAGTAGGAATTATAGAGTAATAAAAATGCAAAGACTTTCTGTTACTATAAAACAGCTAGTTTCACTTTCTGTTCTGATATTTTAACATCACTTCTCCAGGTGAAAGTAGTTACATAACATTGGAAATTTAGTTAAATTAGTCATTTTTTTTTCTGTTTTTAGTTATACACAGTCATTGTGTTTCACAGTCCAAATGAGATTCGTCATAAGACATTCCTCACGGTGGAGAATCTGGTTAATTTTGTAATTTATAAAAGGCTAGGTTTATATTATTAATGGTTTCTCAGTAGACATAGATATGTATGAGAGGGCTTAGTTAGACTATCTGGTTCAAACATGCCCCGTTTATATGGTCTACCGAAGGTGCAAAAAGATGATATTCGTCTTCGTCCAGTGCTGGATATGCTTAATTCACCTTATCACTCATTGGTAAAGTGGCTTGCTAAAATGCTTGAACCGGTGAGATCGAATCTGTGCAAATATAATCTTCCCAACACATTTGGTTTTGTTCACTGCATCGGAGATATCAACGTAATGGGTAAGCGTATGATATCGCTTGATGTTTGTTCTTTATTTACCAATGTTCCAGTTGTTGAAACTGTTAGTTATCTATATGATTACGTTGGTTCAAATAATATTTACATTGGATTACC